CGCGCAATGATAACGTGGAGGGAAAAACGATCGGCGCGACAAACACACGGCACACTATACACATCGGTGTGGCGGCAACAGCAATCAATACTATGTAACATAAAATTATATATTTAAATATTATATATATATATATATATTACCTCAAACCAATGGTGCATTGGTAATATACAGTGGTATATTTGTGGCAGAGTTGGACATTAGTCGAATAAAATATTAATTGATTGATTATTTGAATAAAAAATTAATCTTCATTGAATTATTCTTAATTTTTATTTTTATTCATTATTTTAATTTGTATTATTATTCATTATTCGTTATTCTCTATAACATATATATTCTCTATAAATGTCATATAAATAATAAATTTAAATCCTAAATAACGATGTATAATAATAATAGAATTATTATTTAGACTTAAATAATATATATAACTAACTGACCCGACAAACGTTGTTTTGACATATACATTTTTTCTAGAGAATATTTTGCTAGAACAAAAAACTAATAAAATATAGGTGGGTAAGGATGTGGTATATAAGTGGAAGAGGTATGGAGTGCCGTGAACGGCGACGGAATATAAAAATGAAAAAACATGAAACATTTATTTTTTTAATAATTTACTAAAATTGATCCTTTAAAATTATATAGATCACTAATTATGACAATATTAGTAAAAAATAATATCAATCCCTTAATGCAACAGAGTTTAAATTATTTTTTTTTTTTATCCCATATCTTTCGCCAACACCAACAAACTGGATGGTTCGAAAACACGCCAAGTATAATGTCCGTGTAAAAAACATGATGTGCTCAAATCTAAGTCACAGACAGACATCGTTAGACCTTGAGACTTATTGATAGTCATTGCAAATGAAAATCTAATTGGAAATTGAAAGCGTTTAGATTGTATTGGCATATCTGTGGGTATAATAGGGATTCACGGTAATAATATATTTTCACCTCGGAATTTGCCATTTAAAATAATGGCTTCGATAACATTTTTCATTTATTTTTTAAAGACTAATCGCGTGCCGTTACACAACCATGGGGGGTTCAAATTACGAAGCAAAATAACCGGAGATCCAACCTTCAGTTGTAAATTATGCGGTAGCATGCTTGGTAAATCCGATAAGTTTAAAAACTCTGTTGGATAATATACAGCTTCAGTAACATCGCAAACTGTATCAATAGATTTGTATAACACCAAGTCTCCTGATAATAAATGTTCTATCTCGAGATTTAATTCGTAGACGTCCACATTTTTTGTTGCTAAAATTGCTCTTTCTGCCAGCCACTCATGATTTGTGTGTTGTCTGTATACATTGGGAAATATCTGGTCAATGAGAGCATCTTTCGAGTCAATGATTGTGCAGAAATCGGTTGGTAATTTTATACATCCCGTTTCATCTGTAGTAACTTTACCATCACCAATATCTAACAATTGTTTTGAGAATCTTCTGCACGCAACTTTTTTTGATTGAATCACAAGTATCGAAATTATTCGCTCTCTATCTTTAAATACATGTCGACCATGAATTTTTGACAAAGCTTATGATAACGTTGTCCTGATCGCATCTAATCATCAACCAATATTTATAATAATTCTTCGAACTAACATTCTTGTTTGTTTTGGCACCTGTTGCGGGATTTTGTTGTTTAATATTTATACAATACCCATCATTCAATACCAAAAATAAAATTAATAGTTTTTAATAGTTTTTCAATAGTTTTATTTAATAATTCATTTTCAATTGCGCAGTTATCAATCGGGTCAAAAATTATTAAATTAAACTACGATTTAATAAACAATAGCACTTTTCCAATTTTTTTTTTTTTCGTAATAACCTTCTCCTTGCAATTACGAAAAATTAAAAAAAATTTAAGCCAAATTAACCTAGCTGTTCTCAATTGATGATATATATACATTTTTGGCTCCATTTTATATATATATATATAAATATATATAAAAATGTTATTTTTCTTGATACACATACGTTATTATAGTTACCTAACCTAACCTAACCTTGATAGGGCACAATTCACGCCCATATGATTGCGATTAGTATGATACACAAGTTAAAAAAAAACAATTAATATCATTCATGATTTTAACGAATAAATTTATTCTGAATAATTGTTTTACTCACAAATAAAATTATTATATTATATTATTCTATTCAGAATAATTTTATTCTTTATTCAGTACACCACAATTATTCAGAATAAAAAATTATTCTTTATTCATAAATAAATTAGTTATTCATGCTTTTATTTTTTATTCTCTATTTTGATTTGGTTTTGCCCAACTCTGATTTGTGGATATACGCACTAAAAAAATATAAATATTATTCTCGGTAAATTATATTTTCCAAAGGTAGTAAATTACTTGTACGAGCATGAAGCAGACACTGTCCAACCGTTGGCACCCCTGATAGCCGGACGAACGGTTGGACCGTGCCGTCGTCCGATCACATGGTTACTTTTTTTGCGTTCATCCCGCTTCGACGCGACCTGCTCCGGTCGATTCGTGTTCGTCGTGCCGTTTGTGGTCGCAACGGTGTTTTTGTTGTGTCACGTTATTACGCCCGGTTCGGACATCCTGTCGGCTCATTTTTTGGGCCATTTGTGGTCGCAAGGGCGTCAAGTGTGCCGTACGTGTCTGTGTCCGCTGTGCCACGTGGTTAAACCCTTTCGTTGGACGTTTTGCTACAATACTATCAGTACGTGTACTTGGTCCAGTGACGTAATTAGGAATTTGGTTTGGGGGGGGGGGGGATTATAGGTTTTAGCAAAATCTGTACACCTCATATAGTAATGGGGGATTAGCCTAACCTAACCCAACCAGAACAAAATTTTTAATAATTTAAATTTTAATAATAATAATAATAATACTGATAATAATCTTATAATCACAATATAATAAATAAAAAAAAATTACATAAAAAAAGTTTTGGGGGATTCATTCCCCTAATCCCCCCCCTAATTACGCCCCTGGTTTGGTCACCTGTGGTGTGTGACACTCGAATGTCAAGTTGGTTCCTGATTGTTTTCGTCAGTCATTGTGTGACTACTGTTAACCAGCGGTGCAGATCGTATTGGTTTATTTTGTTTTATTATTATAATAAATCTTACCAACCGGTAGTACCATTAATTGTAGTATTCTTATACTATTGTATTATTATTATAAATATTTTTATATTATTATATTATACATATACATAATAAATTTAATTTTAATATTTCTTTAAAACAAACCAATTAATTATTATAAATCGTTTGTTGTATGCTCAAACAATATCATGCTTCTATGGCCAAGAGTACCTTATCGACAGTCATTGCTCGTTAAAAAAAAATCATAAGATTTAAGTTTTATTTTAAACAGTACTTATTGGGGTAAAAACCGTACTTAAAGATTACCTTGATACATCATTACAATTGAAATTGAAAATACAGGAGAAAAATACTATGCTTACAATACGCATGTACTGTGTCGTATTTATTTACATGTAAATTAGATGTTTGCTTTATTTACATACATATATTTATCTTGGTAATTATTATTTAATCAAATCAAATACGAACAAATTAATAAATAATTAATAATTTGTGTACATTCATATTAATTTGAAGTAAAAGAATTGGTTTAATTTATCATCAACAATTCCGAATTTAAATACAATTTAACTTAACACCTCGTAACTGTCGGCTCAAAAACATATTGTTATTAATTATTGTACTACAGTCAACCTTATTTATTTTGTGGTTATGGATAAATAAGCGTTTGATTTCAATTAACACAAAATATTATAGTTTATATTTAAAAAAATAAAAACACTACCGCTACAAATTCATAATAAATAATAACAGTATTATAGTATTTACACTTATTTTATGAGCTTATTAAGTGCCAATTATAATAAAATAGAAAAAAAAAAATTTACATGGAATTCCAATAATTTCATTTTACTCGTATATTACCGAACCAGCATGTATTACTAAACGTGGATCGTATAGTTTGCAATCAACTAAACAATCGCGAAGTTCTATCATCTTTGTAAATTACAGTTTTAGCTATTTTCATCCATTTAATTTGATGAGGCTATGCCAGCCCCTGATAATATTATATCATTTTATTACATTTTGATAAGACACGCGGTCACTGATTAAAGTTTCGTGTGCACTGTTAGGTATTGTAGCAATATATATATATATATATATATATATATATGACATATTAATTTAATAGTAGTCCAATTACCGGATATAATAATAAAAAAATAGATGAAAATAATGGCCCAATCACCGGGTTAGGTTATAATAGATAATATATATAATAATAGATTGAACGTCAAAATTTGCATACTTGGCTGACATTTTTCGCTATTTAAACCTAGTTAATTCTAGTTTGCAAGGGTCATTAGAAAATGTATTAACTTCCACCGATAAACTTTCAGCTTTTCAAAAACAAATCTCCATGTGGTGTACAAACTTGGATCAAGGAAACACAGCTATGTTTCCATACTTTACAGGTCAAAAAAATTCTAATCCTGAAGTTCTGGGAACCATAAGAAGTCACTTGCAGGCCTTGCAAATATCATTGAAATATTATTTCCCAGACTTGAACGTGAAACAGTATCACTGGGTTCGCAACCCATTTACCTCCTTGGTGCAAACAGATGACTGTGAATTACAACAGGAAGCTGTGGGTCTAAAGAACGACCATACGCTGCAACTAAAATTTAAAGAAGTGTCGCTCAACAGCTTTTGGGTGAGTCTCCACAGAGAATACCCTCGACTATCAACGAAAGCTATTGAAGTGCTACTTCAATTTTCGACGTCCTGCCTATGTGAATATGGATTCAACGCGCTCACAAATATTAAAACAAAAAACGCCAAAGACTCACAAAAACAACACTAGAAGACGATATGAGACTCGCCCTTTCAACCATCAACTCTCGAATTCCACAGCTATATAAAAATCACCAGGGTTAAATTTCTCATTAATTTTTAAATTTTATAGTTTATTCAATTATTATATATTATCAATAGGCTTAGAGACTTATAGCTCTAAAAAATACTCAAATATGCATGCAAATATGCTTCTAAAATCATTAAAATATGCATTATAATATGCATTTATATGCATTAAAAAAAAAAAAAAATGACCAGATAGTACACAAAATAAAACGTGTCCATCGGATTTAAATATATTTTTAAACTCTGAAACAAAACTTTGTAGTCGGCTACTCGTAAACTGTTATACTTTCGGCATAACACAATGTTACAAATAATCGCGTACGACGTTTACGTATGATTCGACGTTGTGTGGTTGAGAGACGCAATAACAACGACAGATAATAATCGACTGAACTGAAACACTAAATAAATAATCTATTATTCTATATCGACTATTATTATCATTATTATTATTACTATTATTATCTTTATCGACATCCGGTCAATATCCAGCGGATTATACGGTTGATACGGGTTTATAGTATTATTTATACTTACACAAAAATTATAACGAGATATGAGAGGTAGTTTGCAAATAGCATATTACTGGAAGTATTAAGTCCTCTTAGTACATTTTTTTTCGATAGGTTGAAATATGTATATATAGTTATATGCAAGGCTGGGCATTAACGAGTTAAAAAGTTAAAGTTAAGTTAAAAAGTTAAGTTACTTTTAACTAAGTTATTTAACGAGTTACTTTTATTTTCAAAAGTAACTTCCAGCTTAACGAGTTTCTTTTTTTTTTAAACAACTTCTAACTTAACGAGTTAATTTATTAATTTGTCCTAATATAAATTTCATATATTTAAAATTATATTTAGTACTTACTAAGTACCTACTGTAATTAATACAATTACATATTTTTATTGAAAATAGTTAGACTTCCATTATATTGTGTTATTTGTTAAGCTTTGATAAAAATGTATGATAATATATTGTACATAAAAAAAGAAAATTAACTTATTTTTAACTAAGTTAAATTACTTTTTTTTCAAATTAACTTTTAACTTTAACGAGTTAAATAAATAAGAAAACTAAATTTTAACTTTAAACTTAACTTACATCTTTCTGTATTAACTTAACTTAACGAGTTAAAATAATTAGTTAACTTTCCCAGCCTTGGTTATATGTATCTATAGTTTTTAATTTTCATCAATAAAATTTGAGAAATTTGTCAAAATATGTAAAATAAACATAATAATGTTAAAATAAGTATTCTCCTGCAAAATCTATCAAATATGCAAAAATATGCTCATTCAAATTTTAAATCTGATATCATGGCACAGAGAAACGAATTTATTTTGCACTCTGCTATATTTAATAATAATTAAAAAAAGTATGTAAATGCTAAAAGTCCCTAAGCCTAATTATCAATAATCATAATTATTTTTTTTTTAAATTTAAAATTTCAATGTTTCTTTAACAGTAGGTAAAGCAAAAATAAAATTTGTAGTCATTATTTTTCTGCGTACTATATTTTGTATAGTGCTTATATTTTATATTATAATTATTTTTATGTTATGGAGACGTAGTGTTGGGTTATCGTGGATGGGGGTGACACGAATCCAAAAAGATTTAGAATCACTGGTCTATGTAATGACAATGGAAATTTTATTTTAATATTTGCGAAGACTAGGTAAACCAAGTATAGAGAAAACTTTAATTACATTATCGATTGAATGGTTGGTGTCTTAAAAATTTAAAATAGAGTATCACGACTTTCATAAGTAATTTATTAAAAATGTTGGTCAAAATCGACCAAAACGCAGTGTTTTGATCCAAAGTTCTATACAAATTATGAGGTTCGATGATGTTTTTTAATTGAAAAACTTAGTTATGAGAGTTATCAGAATTTGAAAACCAAATTACTTCCATTTAACTTTTTCAAAACTATACGTATTTATTATCATGTAATTCAACTAAAAATGAGTTTAAGAAATACTAAATGACGTTAATAAATTATATAATATTAATAATTATACAAAACAATGCTTATTTTAGTGATATATAGAGTAATTCCTTTTTACGATGAAATATTTTATTCAGGCACAAATTAATTCTAATATTTGTATAAAAAACACGAAAGTAAAGTGTTGTGAAATTATCAATAGTAGAAAATTGAAATAAAATAATTAATGTTTTTGAATATTTTATTTTCAAAATATTTTCAAATAATTTAGTTTCAATTCATTTTCAAAGACCGTTAAAATAAGTAAAACTTCTATAGGCTATTATAGGAAATAAATTATATTATTATTATTATTATTATTATTATTATTATTATTATTATTATTATCATCATTATTATATGATTTAAATAAATAAAAAAATTGTTTATATAAACACCATGATTGATCTTAAACTTAAAAAAAAAAAAAATTCGACTTGTACTCTCAATCGCAACCTACATTTTTTAAAACTATAACCCAATTTAATAGTATCACTAATAATTAGTTTTGTTTAATAATTATTATTAAACAAAACAATCTGTCTAAAATATTAACGCACATAAGAAACTTAAAATTATCATTTATGAATTATTTCTTTCCAATTTCAATAACATTTTCATATTAATAACTTATAGTGTAAGTCTTCCACTATTAGTTTATACTAAACCAATTTATTAAACAAAATAATATTAATATCAGAGTGCAGCAGTGGCATAATTCTGGTGGAAGAGGGGTGTAAGGGGTTTCCACTCACTCCGGAATTTTTTTTTAATGATATTTAATTATTATTTATTAATATTTATATATTATAGTATAATAATATTTTGATTTTACTACGATTAGGTACATATTAAAAATTGATTAACAAAATAATTTTCATTTAATACGGAACATAACATTTTTAACATATCATTAACATACCATTTTAAATGTAATATTATTATATAGGACCTCGTATTAGGATATACTAAGAATATTATGAATTTATTCTATGTCACACAATTGACACCCCCCCCCCCCCTAGAAAATAATTGTATCCACGCCACTGGAGTACAGTATTAGTTAGAAACAATAAATAAATAGAGTAAAATGTAAAGTTAAAATAGTATTGAATGCATACACTAATTTACCAGATTTCAATGTCATCCAGTACTTAATAGTAGAATAAAAATAATGAGTTATACTAAAAATCTTACTCACATTAATATTCCTATTACACGCGATTAATTTAAAGTGCTTAATGTGTCTTTCGTTTCAATGAATTTTCTATCTAAAGTAATAGAGGATTTTTTTGAAAAATATTAAAATAAGATAGTTTATTAACACAAAATTAAAAGGAAAGTAAGTACTCCAATTATAAGTTAAGAATAAATTAGTTATTGAAAAAACTATTAGAATATTTTGGTCCTGGAACATAAATTTATATTACAAAATGTAACTATGATGCTGTATTGTAATAATCAAATAGCAAGCAAATAATACATCACAGTAACATTGAAGATTCAATTAAATAAAATAATAAATAGCTCTTCTGGCCCAACAATATAATTCAATTATAAAATAAATAAGTATATCAAAAAAAACATACAAAATCATAAAGCGCAGACTGGCCAGATTCACTACCTAAAATCTGCATAATAAATCACAGTCACTCCAAAAAAACTACACCATATAATTTAAATTAACAATAAAAGTTCGCAGTGATTAGGGTACACAAGCTTTAATAATAATAAAATACTATTTTTGGCAATTCACACACATACAATTATAATAAAAAAATAATAAGAATGGCGATTAGCACACGTAAGTTTCGATAATAATAAAAATAATGTACAGGAGTCTTACAGATAATTATTTTGGCAGTTAATATTGAAATTTTTTTTTTTAACTGTATTTTAAGTTAGGTAGACACGCATATAATTACTAATAACATTTTTATTTCACCCCTTAATAAATTTAAAAAAAATAGTTAAGTTTCAAGTTGATCTCATTATAAAACTGTTCAATATAGCCACATTGAGTAAGATATTATTCTAAAAACTTAAATGTAATATACGTAAATATCAGATAAGTATTTCCTAAATTATAGCCATTTTAGTTTCTAGTGAAGGAATATGAAAAATATCAACAGTAATGAATATGTATCGGTAAATTATTAGTAATTTGTAACTTTTACATCACGCTTTGGATTACTATAATTGCAGCATTGTAATAAAAGAAATAAAACTGATGACAATTTTATTTTGTAGTCAGGTTAATTAAAATAGTTTATAGTTAAAGCTTAGTTTATTTACTATCATTTTATTGAACGTAGTCTCAACCATGAATTAATAAATCACACAGTGATCTATCCAAAAATATAGAAAATGTGTGCATTAATTTCTATAATAATTCATAGCAAATATGCTGGAATACATAGACATTATAAAGTATAAGGTCTATGTTTAAAAAATTGGAATAATCCGTGTTAATAGGTATTAAGTTCACACAAATAATTTCGCGATGTCGTTAAAATTCATTATATTTATTATTTACATATTGTGTTAAAGTCATGACTAAAGTGTAATTTGTATGTTCAATAGCAGCCCATACACGAAAGGTTTTCCCGTCAGTTTTGGAATGGCATTCCAAAACTGCCGATCAGGTCGTCAGTTCTAGTCCGTCGCGGTACAGAACTTTTGATACCCATTTACTGTCATTCCAGATCTGCCGAATTATACCGACCCTTTGGAATGTAACGACTAGATATGTAGGTGTATGTTCAAAACTGTCAATTTTCCTGCGGTTATGATGCGTCACTAGATCTTTTGTCATGTTAGAAATATTTTTTGCCATTCCTACGGAAGAGTACCTAGTATGTAGTTTGCTTAGTAGTGTGTTCCTGATATAATTATACATATATATATATATATATATATATATAATATAATTAGACGTTATACCTGACTTATCC